CTTACTCAAATTTGATTAATAAAGTATCTATCTGAAGGGGATTTTAAAAGTATGAATTTAGGTACTAATAGTACACATTTATGTTAAGGATTGAGTGAGATATTGTATTTTCTTTGTGTTTTTCAACTTTGTGACGAACAAATCACGTGATCTTGCCATTCTAAGGAATTATGCAAGCAGCAGTAATTCACAACACTCAACTGTCTTATTTCTGTGTGTAAACAGTACTACAATACATTTTCTTAACTCAGTAATATCAAGCATTTGTTTTGAAAGATGATAGTGTACTTTTATAAGCTATTTTAATGTAAAGTATCTTGTTATATTTGGCACAGCATATACACTGTATATGGAAGTAGTGTATTGTATATAGGTCCTGCTGACCCAGTTTATGCCTGTAATTATACGTGTGTAAGCGTATATGCTACGCGTGGAGCACTAGATACTAGTGTGTTCATCCGAGTCATCTCTCTCTACGTGATATTGACTGTTTTTCAGTCATCACACTGGACAGAGAGGTGTGTTCTGTCTGTAGTTCTTTCTCTCTATGAGATAGTGACGAAAACAATCTGATAGATCGAGTTCTTCTCGGTATTGTTTAATTTTTATCTGTCAATCCAGTGAACACTATTAAATGGAATGAGTTGTAGGGAAGCTCACTTAAGAAGCCCGTCAATATTATTTATTTCTTGGTATGTTACTTGAGCTTCCTTATGAATATTGTGATTGAGTAGAGCCAGAATCGATATATCGGTATTTTCGGAGCAGTAGCTTCGGTATATGGTGAGTATTATGTAGGAATACTGGTGTATATTCTTCTCGGGGCTAACGTTGCCCCCAGCAGGAGAATTGGACGTATCTCAAGAAGGGTAAGTTAAGATATTTCCAAGATCTTGTAACTTATAAATTTAAGTACATAGATGTAAGCAATACTTTCTAGACCTTTTCTAAGCTTTGACGTTTTCCAGGCAATTTCTCTGAGTGGTCTAGCAGCATCTCCAGTGAGTACGATAAATGTCAGGCCATTCATTGTATTGACAGGCCTGTTAGATTGGGCCACTATGGTACTAATTGACTGTAATTCTATTGTACAGTGTGTTGTTAAATTATTAACTAATCTCCAATCTGCAGACATTCTTATGGTCCGAGTCCTTCCATTTTACCCAAATTGTATGTGGAAAGGTTCAAATGTTTCTCTATACTAATCACAGAATAGCAAAAACCCTATCAACATGCCTCATAATCCTCCTGGGTTCAGAAGCAGCTACAAAATTTGGTATATTAGTTTATGGAACATGGGCTGAGCAGAGTGAGTTGGTCGTATTCATTTGAGAATTAGATCTCATACTGTACACAGTAACCGCCATACCAATAACCAAGAATGTTTCATTTTGTAGCGACAACGCCGTCAATTTGACACCAGGAATTATTGATTGGTATGGTTATGCTCATTCTCAGATGCGAGAGATTGATTGACATAATCCAGGACATTTCCGATGGTGTACGGATTGGTCCTCATGTTACTCGCACTTTACAGAGCCGCGGAATACTGGAAAATGTCAAGTGGATTCAGAGGCTTCAAGCTCGTCAAGGTTCTTATCCGCGATCAGATAATATACTTCCTTCTGTGCGTTATAGAATTACAACGATTGTGACGAATGCTAACTACTGTCGTATCTTAGAGCAATAATGTGTTGTGTTTTCAATATTCTGAACTTTAAGGTGCCTGTCAACAACGATGTTCTAGAAATGTTCCTTCAGCAAGCTGGGAACCCGTCATTCTTATGCATCCTGGGGAGTCGACTGCTCTTCAACTTGAAGGAAGCAGGAAAGCTGGGCGTAAACGAAGGCACGAACTACCGGACAACATCTATGAGTACTATCGAATTTGATCAACCGGCCAGGAGTGAAGGTAGATTCATCTTTTTGTTCTTGACGAGTTACGAGTTAAATGTAGAAATAGGGGCTTCTACCAGTGATGCTGGAGCCATTACGGAAGACAGTGGCTCTACGAGATTCGTGCCGCAGGATTCCTCTGTCTGAACGTCAGCGACAAACATATTGATGGGCCATAAACTGTTGGAATTTGTGTACACATCCCCTTGCATAACAGAATGCCTTTTTTATCTTGCTATCTGCACTTGATTTGCTTCGAATTAGCTCTTTCAGTACACTAGAACAATCTTATTAATATGCAGCACTTTGAATTGAACATTTTTCAACCGAACATTGCGACTGTGGTCATGCCCTCGGATGCTGAAAAACATCATTGTACAGCATGATGCTTCATGGCTTCTGATGATTGGGATTATAGCAAGCCATGTAAAATAACGACTTGCTCTAACGACTTGCCTAACGACTCGCTCCAGTATATCAATCCTGTTCCAGACTGGATCTTTAACAGTCAACATTTTGGTAAGTAAAAAGCAGGAATGATCTGCAATTGGGCTCAGGGTAGAGACAGTCAAAGCAATAGAATAAGACTGGCCAGCTTACGTACCAGGGTCTAGTCCGCTTCTCCCCAGCTTTACATGAATATTCGCCATTAAAATTACATTATGCCCAGACACGAAAAACAGGTTAGATTTCAGTGAATATTTGTCATAGTTTTATTGGTTGATTCCTTCTGTACTTATATGCAACGTAAATCGATTGCCTAACATTGGCATCATGCACCAGTGTTCATTGGAATGACGTACAGTTATTACACAAATTGCACCAGTACGTACAGCCATACGTCTAGGTATTGCAGCATCGTCATGGCCATGTCTCTCTCTTTGGCAATGCCTTCCACGCTTTCCGTACACAGCTTCTCGGTGACACGTGCTGGTATACAATACACTGGGTCAAGATCCTCTCTGGGTTCGGCTATCCGAGTAATGAGAACTAAAGCACAATAACTCGTTCAGTCAGATTGTTTTATATTCAAAAAGGTTGAGAGAAATCGAACCTGCGCATCTGAAGTGCGTGTGAAACACAACTACAGCGTTGTTCGGTCGATCGGCGATTCCACCCTCGTCCGGATCCTTGAGGAGAAAAGTGGATCAACAATCGTGATTTAAGAGAAGTCAAGTGATGTAGAATAAGGAACAAGCTTGTGCGGAAAGGGTAAACGAGACGAGTTTCGCAGCATTTATCCAGTGTAGCTTGTTCAGAGTTGAGAGAGCGGAGAGGACCCAGAAACTCTAGTATACCAGTACCAAGGCTAGCATACTTACTCAACATCTGCACCTGTGAAGAAATTAAACCTTTTCTTGCGTCTTCTAACTTTTCAAGCCAACCATCTAATCCACCGCAAGAGAGTTGTCGTCCAGCAAGCCACCAGGCGAGCGTATCTACGCCGACTGGGTCTAGTCGATCCAGGATGACCAGTGCACTGACACAGACGATTACTAAACCGACACAATACGACAATGAGTATATCATGGGTTCATTATATGGCAAGATACAGATAGTTATTAAGCACACCTTGACCAGCATGACTCTCCGCACCGGCGACGTTCCAAATCCTCCATCAAAGTTCCTGCATTGCACAATATGCGCTATTGCACGTCCTCGCCGACCAGGACCATCTCCTGGGAGTGCACAAAGTTGACCGAGTAACGATAATGCGTTGACGGAGCAATGGAGAAATCGTGTGTCCGCCTCTCCGAATCTGTCCTCCGAGAATGCGTCGGAGGGAAGTTGAAGCGATAATAAAACTATATTCCAGAGGTATCAGGACTATTCTACCGCGGTCATAGAGGTGCTATTTCGAGGCAGGTGTACGCACAGTTTGTGACGAGTTCGACGTCAATCCTATCAAGTGCATTTTGAGTTGTGAGTGTTTGGATCGCACATAGCGTTGGGTAAACGTGCGCATTAAGTTCTGGATGCTGTATCAGTGTATGTGTCGAAGTCCGTGATGTAATGATGTAGGGCCGGTCAACACGAGTCAACAAGTACGCACAACGCAACATTACATCATTACATCATTCCTCCTCTTTAGAATCTCCTTGTACGATTCGAAACCCCGGGCTGGATGAATGCATGTAAAATCGGAAATCAAAGTGAATGCCTTTTCTTAATATTAGATTTGGATTCAATATTAATGTCTCATATCATAGTTCTTAGTAGTTATAACTTATCAACATCAGAAACTGATATTGAACAATGATTGATGAGTTGTGACGATTGTATTCATCCATCAAACTGTAAAGGCAAATGAAGATATTACTGATATGATGGATTCCATTCAATAATTGGTTCGTTCTATAAGATGGAAGCCCAATTGTGTTTTGAAAAGCACCCGACCCACTCTCTTCTGCTCAAGCAACCAGCTGGACGTATGCACTCTCTGGTGGCAATGTCTTCAGCCAAGGACAGCTCAGGAGCTCTCGACCCTAGTTTCATACAAGAATTTGTTTCAAGCACAATAATTGCACAGTATTGGCAGTTTGCAATTGTGGCCCTTTTAGTGTATGATTCTGGTCTGTTCATCCGAATAGCCTCTCTGCTCTATACTGACCGGTTTTCCAGTTATTACAATGGACAGAGAGGTGTGTTCTTTCTTTTATTTAAGTTGCTTTCGTGACTCTATGACAAAAACAATCTGATAGATCGAATTCTTCTGGGTATTGTTTCGATTTCATCCGTCAATCCAGTGAACACCATTAGATGACAGGAGTAGCAGGGAACCTCACTTAAGAAACCTGTCAATATTGTCTATTTTCTGGTATACTACTTTAAGCTTCATTATAAATGCTGCAACTGAGTAGAACCAGAATCGATATACTGGTATTTTCGGAGCAATTTTATCAATATTTTGTAAGTATTAGGAGCATCAGAGTACGTGTTTTCTGACTGCTACTGTCGCCTCTAGTCACTGAATGGAACATGTCTCCGGAAATGTAAGTTCAGATAATTCTAATCTGTTATAACTATTATATCGAAGTATGTAGATGTAAGCAATGACTTCGTCACCTGTTCTCAGCGTTGACCTCTTCCAGGCAAGTTCTCCGTGTGGTCCACCAATGTCTCCAGTGGGTATATTAACAATCAAGCCACTCTCTACACTGACAAGCCTCCTAGACTGGATCACTATATTGTCGATTGACTGTGATTTTATTCTGTATCATATTGTTCAACTCTTGACTGATTGCCAATCTACAGACATTCTTATGATTCGAGTCCTTGCACTTTATTCACATCGTATGTGGATAACTTCAAAAGCCATGCTATGCTAACTGCACAACAGCAATACACTTATCAACATGTCTCCTGATCCTCCTCGGAGCAGAAGCGGCTACAAAGCTTGGTTTTTTAGTTTGTGGAATATTGAATGAGCAGAGTGAGTCGGTCGCATTCGTTTGAGAATTAGAACTCATACTAGGCTCAGTAACCACCATGCCACTAATAGAGAATACCTCAGTTTGTGACTACACTATTAGCAACAATACTTTGAGACTAGCAATCATTGACTGGTATGAATACACCCGTTCTTGGTACGCCAGATGTTGATTGACATTATGCAGGACAATTCCGATGGTGTACGGATTTGCCCTCATGTTGCTCGCGCTATATAAAGCCGCAGAATACTGGAAAATGTCAACGAGGTTCAGAGGATTCAAGCTGGTCGAGATTCTTATCCGCGATCAGATAATATACTTCCTCCTGTGAGCGATAGAAATACAACTATTCTGACAAATGCTGAGTCCTGACTGCCGTCGTATTTTAGCGCGATAATGTGTTGCATTTTCAACCTTTTATATCCTAAACTGGATGTCGAAAACGTAATTTTAGCATCCATCCTTGGGCAAGTTGGGAACCCATCGTTCCTATGTATTTTGGGAAGTCGACTACTTTTCAACTTGAAGGAAGCCGGAAAGCTAGGCGTAAACGAAGGCACAAACTACCGGACGAAATCCATGAGTAACATTAAATTTGAGCAACCAGCTGCGTATGAAGGTATATTTCAATTTGTTCCTAACGAGTTGCGTGTTAAACGCAAAGATAGGAACTTTCACCAGCAACGTCAAAGTTGCTACAGAAGACAGTGGCTCCACCGCATTCGTGCCGCAGGATTCCTCTGTCTAAACGTCGGTGACAGACTCAACAATTGACAATAAACCGTCGGGATTTGTTCCCATGTCCCCATGTATACTAGAATGCTTTTGTTATCTTGCTGTCAGTACTTGGTTCGCTTTGGATTAGCTATGTTGGTACAATAGAGCAATATTAGTATTGTGCAGAACATTGAATGGAACAGCTGTCAACCCATCACCCTAACAGTAGTCATGTCCAATACTTAAAAAGCGTCAATGTATGTCATGACGCTTATGGTTTCCGATTGGAATTACGGTAGACCATGTAAAATAATGACTCGCTCCAGTATCTGGACTGTTTTTGACCAGATCTTTAACAGTCAACGTTTGTCGGGGAAGACGGGTATGATCCACGATTGGGACTCAGGGCAAAGACAGTCGACGTAATAGAGTAGAGCTGGCCAGCTCGCATTTCAAGGTTTAGTCTGTTCTCTCTGGCTTTACAAGAACATTTGTCGCTTAATTCGACCTTATTCCCAGATGCAAATCGCAAGATAGGCTTCAGTGAATAATTATCAGAGTTTTATTGGCTGATTACCTCTGTGATATAATGCAATGTAAATCGACCCCCTTTCATAAGTATAATGCACCAGTATTCATTGGAATGCCATACATTTATTGTACAAATTGCACGAGTGCGTACAGCCACACTTCTGAGTATTGCATCGTCATGGCCAAGTCTCTCTTCTCGGTAACGCTTTCCACGCTTTCCGTAGACCCAGCTTCTCGGAAACACGTGCAGGCATGCAGTACACTGGGTCGAGATCTTCTAGATTCGGGTATCCGAGTAATGAGAGACCTGAACTATGACACCTCTGTCAGTTGAATTGGTTGAATTCAGTACATTGGGAGAAATCGAACCTGCAACGCCGGGGTGGGTGTGAAAGACGTCTACAGTGTTATTCGGTCGATCGGCGATCCAACCTTCCTCTGGGTCCTTAAGAAGAGAGAAACATGAATTAAAAACTGCAATCTAAGTGGTCTAGAGTCAATCTAGAGTCAATACGAGGGATAATGAACAAACTTGTGCGGAAAGGATAAACGAGGCACATTTCTCAACATTTATTCGATGTGCTTGTTCAGTGTTGAGAGAGCCGAGAGGTCCCAAAAACTGTAGCATGCCTGTATTAGGGCTAGCATACTCAATATCTGCAGCTGTAAGGCATCTAAAGCTTTTCTCACAGACCGTTTTATCCGCCACAGGGAAGTTGACGTTGAGCGAGTCAACATGCGAGCGTATCTACGTCGACGAGGTCCAGTTGATCCAGAACAGCTGGCGCACTGACACAGACGAATACCAAGCCAATAAGCACCTCAAGGGTCTTTTACACAGTAATCTGTAGAAAGTTAATGACCATACCTTGACCAGCATGGCTCTCCGTACCAGTTGAAGTTCCAAATCCTCCATCGGATTTCCTGCATTACCCGATATGCGTCATTGCGTGTCCTCGTCGATCAGACCCATCCCTGACGAGTGCGGAAAGTTAACTAAGTAATGATAATGCGCTGATCGTGCAGTATGGAAACAATGCGTTGGTCTCTCCGAATCTATCTCCTGCGAACGCGCCAGACGGAAGCTGAAGTGTTAACAGAAGTATGCATCAGGGAGCGTTAGAGATATTGGTTTTTCAGGTGCTATTCGTATCAGGTATACGCAAAATTTGTGACGTATTCGACGCCAATCCTGTCGAGTGCCTCTTGAGTTGCACATAATTGGATTGCGATGAGCGTCGAGTGAACGCGTGTATTATATCCTGGATATGCATCAAACGCGCCTAAAGACAAATTGTGTGCATGTTAACGCAGTTCTACGATTCTACGCTTCAAGAAATGCATCATTGAACCGAGCTTCTCTATCCCAGCAACGTATAACGAAATCAATTTTACTCCTTCTCTCGGTAGGATATCTTGATCCCTGCTGTGAGTCCATGACGACCCAGTACAGTAGATACCATTGAGACGGAGACGTGTTGCCATATGGCAAGGGAGATCATCTTTGTGCTATACTCTGACTGAGTATGAACGGTTATTCGCACATAGTCGGGTGTGCTTTCTTGCTGCCGAGAGATTGGATATACTTCATGTGATGTAGAGGGATGGACATCGATGATCGTGTCACGTGCGTCCACTGTCTGCCATAGTTGCTGATGTAATGGATGTAGGACTGGTCAAGACTAGAGTACAAGTGGAAACTCCCTAGTTTCCCACAGTGAGGATTACCACAGAGGTTTCCCACGAGGTAAACCTCACTACCACTGTTACAGTTCTCTGCTCTTGTACCTTCAGTTCCGAGGGTTCTGCACCCTTCTGTACTGGAACTCAGGACTTCTGTCCCTTGGGGGCACTGTCTATGAACTATATGTGTGCTGACTCTTACTACTACCCTTCCTTACTTTATCATTCCATTCCTTTGACCACC